AAGTTATTCCCTTATCTTCAGGAAGTACATGAAAGATTGATCTGGACACTCTGCCCGCAGACTATATAGCACTTCCAGGCCTCTTGGTAAATATCTGTTTGGCATCCAACTTTTCCTGTCCTCAAAGATCAAAGTCAAAATCCTGTAAGCATCAGAAAAATATTAGATAGCAGTTACAGTTGCAGAATGAGCAGAAAAAGCTGGGAGGTGGCACACAGCTGGTTAAGGCCTAAGCTTATTTTTTGGCACCAGCACACCTCTAGTGTGCCAACGACAAAATATCTCCTCCAGAAAGTTAACCCTCCCCAGTTGACATAAATCAAGTCCATTGACTCCGGCATCACATCCTGAAGATTTTTAACTGAAACTAGGCTTATTTGAAGAATGAGTTGGCTTATATGTAGAATCTGACTGCTTCACATTTAATGGTCATGTTAGCCAGGATTCTCCAGAGAAATAGAACCAACAGGATATATACAGATATAGAAGAAGAGATTTATTATACAAATTAGCTCAAAAGGTTATGGAGGTTGAGAAGTCTCAGGATCTGACATCTGCAAGATGGAGAACTTGGAAAGCCAATGATACAATCCAGTCAGAAACAGAAAGCCCAAGAGCCATGAGTTCTGGTGTCTAAGGGCAGGAAAAGGTGTATACCTTAGCTCAGGAAGAGACAGAAAATTCCCCCTTCCTCTTTTTTTTTTTTCTCTTCCCTATTTGGGGGCCCTCAATGGATTGGATGATGCCTGCCCGCAATGGTGAGGGAGGATCTTCCTTACTCAGTCTACTGACTCAAACGCTAATCTCTTCCAGAAACACCCTCATAGGCACATCCAGAAATCCTATTCTATTAGCTATACATGTACCCTTTAGTCCAGTCAAGTAGACATGAACCATCACAGCGATGCAACAGATTTCAGGGTCTGGGCATCTTGCTAAAATTTTTATCATCATTTCTCTCTCCATGGTTTTTAGACAGATGGCCACAACAGCCCTGTGCACCTCCTGACCATCTTCTCACTTCAGGCACTGACTTTTCTGATAATAAACACAGACAATGCAATGCATTCTTCTTGTTAACAGAATCGCAACTACATGGTCCAGTAAGACTCGCCTCTAGATATTTCTCTGTTGTAGTTTTAGATAATATTTTAGTAGGTACGATCCCTTTTTGCTTAGAGACGATCAGTTTGAAATTCTATTACTATGGTACATACCTGTGTAATTAGGAAGAAACTTTGTGGTAAGTTTGTGCTTGCATTGATAGTGCCATTTAAACTTTATATACTGTCGCCAAGGAAACAATACAATAACGATGCTCAAAATGAATCTTAACATTTTGCTAGAGTAAAATTTTCCAACTCACATTCAGGCATGTACACTTTTCAAAGACCACATACCACAGTAACATTTTCTATTTAGAATTATTATGGACATGCTTTGCTTATCCACTGCATGTTGTGGGGGGACCTCTTGGAAGAAATAGCATTATTTTTACTAGCTGGGGAGTGTGTGTGTGTGTGTGTGTGTGTGGTGTATTTATTTATTTATTTTAATATAATTATTGTGTAATTTACTTAATGGGTTTTAGCTTGAGTTTTTGAAAGGTATCATGACTAAAAGCAAATTGATAGGAAAGTGGATAACAATGAATTAAAGGTTACTGGCAACCTAAGACACTGTTTATCTCTTTTGAGGTAGATAGAATTCAAATTGCCTTCATTAGCTGAGCAATATGCTGTGGAAAATGAGCTGGGTACTTATCAAGAGGCTCTTTCATTTGCATTTTTGCTAAATTATCAAGCTGCTCTGTTTTCTAGGTGCTTAAGAGCTGTGACTAGGGAAGAAAGCATTTTTCAGTTAAGTAAGCTTGGGGCATTTCAGGACTGGAGCAAAGAAAAGAAAAAGTTTATCAAGGAAGGTGTCAGGATTGTCCCTTGTATATATATATATATATATATATATATATATATATATATATATATATATATATATGTGATACAAAGAGATAACCTTACAGACAGTCAGGATCTAGGATGTACAAATGCATTCATTCTCCCCCACATTCTCCAGGACCACAGCAAAGCCAGAGGCTGTTCTTTTGATAAATGATCAATACTTCAGCATGACACCAACCTAGCTGCCCTGCTGTTGCTAGTTAAAAGTATGAATTTCAATTAAGCAGTAAATCTCTGTGGTATTACATCTTGAACAGACAGTTAACTTCTCTCTAATCCCCTACAATTCTGAAACCCTATTATTTTGTAGTCATTTTCTTTAAGCTCACTCGAAAGTAAAAGATATGTTTATAAGATCAGTAAAGAAATATTTTCTTACAAATGAAATACTAGATATTAAACAATTTGTTTTGTTTAATAGTATGCCCATGTACAAACATTATACTTCTACAGTGTAAAGTAGGAGGTAATCAAATGTATTAATACATAATCTGAGTCAAAAGTCCATTGACATGATTGCATATCTTTAGTTCTTATGTTCTATTTCAATTCTATTCCACATATATATTCCTGGAAAACCTCTTAAGTCCTGCAAACACATGAGCATTCATAACACCAATCACACTTAAACATTCTCATTTCCTATGTCATCACAAATGTTCCTAAAGATTTTTTCTTAAAGTTTTTTATTTTCAGAAAGTACTTGCTGATGACTAAAAAATGCAACTATTAGAAAATACATCTAAAAAAATCTGTGCAGCTTTCTTAAGGATTTCAATATTTTGAAAGATAATATAGGCCATTTGATAGGCACCATCACCCAAATTAATACGACTTCAAAGCTACAGATTTAAAGTAGCCTTAACAATCAGATCTATTATTAGAATAAAATATGATTTGGAATTATAATTACTGGAATAAACTATAATTTTCTCTGTTTAGAATTTTAGAAGTCTTTTCACAGAAGCAAATGCAGTGTTGCCTCCATCAGCAAAATTCTACCATTATAAGTGCTCTTCTCCTCAATCACTTAGAATGCAAACATTTATATTAACAATTGACTTGAAGATGTCTGAACTACTTCATCAGAATGCCTAAGTAATTTTGATAAAAATAAAATGAAGGGTGGGGCGCCTGGGTGGCTCAGTCAGGTAAGCATCTCTGCCTTTGGCTCAAGTCATGCTCTCAGGGCCCTGGGATCGAGCCCTGCATCAGGCTCCCTGTTTAGCAAGGAGTCTGCTTCTCCTTTTCTCTCTGCTCCTCTCTCCTGCTTGTGCTCTTTCTCTCAAATAAACAAATAAAATCTATTAAAAAAATAAAATAGGGGCGCCTGGATGGCTGTGTCAGTTGAGCATCTGACTCTTGACCTCAGCTCAGGTCTTGATCTCAGGGTCATGAGTTCAAGCACCATGCTAGGTGTGGAGCCCACTTAATAATAATTTTTTTTAAATAAGATAAACACATTTAATTTTAAATAATTTATGTATCAAACTTGTGTGGACCTATCAGATTGCAGATATTTTATTATTGGATGCTAAGCATAGAATAGGTTAAACATGTCTAAATAGTAAGTACCTCTACTTGCAATGTTCCAGCCTTAAAATACAACATATATAGAGAAAATAAGTATACAGCATGGTAGAAGCTTCTTGAGCTAATGATCAGTTGGCCAGGAATTGAACTTCAGAGTTTTTGGTTTTCATACCACTACTATATAGTGAAATCTCCCAACATACTTGCCATTTGTCTCCAAATTAGCTCTAAAAAAATGAAGTCATAATTTAATAGTCAATATATCTATTAATAACAATGCAAAAGGACATTTTATTTAATTCTAGTATTTTATTTTCCTTTGAAAAACAGGAACAGTTACTTATTATATTTTTTTTTTGAAAAAAAATTTTTTTTTTTAATTTTTTTTAAATTTTTTTTTTTTAAATTTAACTCAGTTTATTTCATTCTAACCATAATATGTTTGAACCCTATGCATTCTCACAATGCAAGGCTACTATACTTATCCAGCCAACTAAACTTTCTGATGAACTAACAAAGCTTAATTTGATGGCTGGATTTAACTCATCAAGGAAGAATTGAGAGTTTTATTAGCTGATCAGCTGTCATTAAAACAATGCATGCTGTATTTTCAACATTCTACTACGATGAGGAAGAAAAATATTTAAGTCTTGATTACAAGAATTGCAAGAGGTGGCTGCTTAGAAATCTTCTAACTCTAGGATCCTATAATTATGTGAATTTTTTTTTTTAAACATAAAACTGAAGTATGGATTGTTGTCTAGGAAGTAACACATGCTTCTTATATGAGGTAACTATTCTTTTAGTTATCAAGTTGTTTAAATTTATTTTTGCATATCAGAATAATTATACGGCTTAGGAACCTGATAGATTTGTCTGAATAGATTTGCAAAAAGTGTTTTTTTTTTTTTTAGTGTATGTGCTGCTGAAGTGAATACAAGAAGTGTTTTTTTGATAAAAATAAAGATAATATAAAAATAATAAATCATGTAGTCATATCATATTGGGAGACCAAGAAAATGGAAATAAGGATGAAAGAAAAGGAGCAATATTTTACAAACTAGAAAGGTGACAATAGAAAAGAAAAGAACAGGAAAAGTCGGCAGAAGCTATACCACAAATGTCAATCAGGTTAAGTCTCAAGTAGAAACACTGCAATATAGTTTAGAAAAAAACAGCAGAGTTTCCTTGAGCATGTTCCATGACTTAAAGTACGATGAAGTCTTTTATGTGACATTTTATAGAAAACAAAATTCACTTTATGTGCAGAACACAGAGTAAAGTTCTAATCTCTAAGCAACAGACCATATGAAAACTGAGTATTGTCTACTGACCCATACAAATTCCTATTCTAAAATGTTATCAAAAAGCCTCCCAGGTGCTTTCTTGTTTTAAAAACAAACTTAGAATCAACACCTTAGATGCCAGCAAATCAGTAAATCATCTGAGCATTCCAAAAGTAAAAATAAAAACAGAACTAACTGCAACGAAAAAAGGCTATGCACTTACCATCGTGATTAGGATTGCCTAGTGTCCATGGCTCATCGGAGTCAAAATGAGTATCTCCCCCAATTCCTGGTCCAGGGAAGTAGGCATGTGCCAAAAACCCTCCCTCTCCGTCGAAGGGAGAACTGTCTCCATGAAAACCAGACGCGAAGATGATGGTTATATCCACGTCACGTTTGCCATTTTCCAATTCGCTGTAAGGAACTTCTTCAAATGTCAGAGGAGTCACATTCTGCCACACATCGAAGGCACGGCGAATAGCTTTGCGGGTTTCAGGGTCTCCTACCTTGGGAGTTACGTTCTTTATACTGAAATTCAGAGAAGAGCATAATCAGTATGGCTTCCTCATAGACCCTCTGACTTATGACAGGTTGGCTTATTACAGATTTTGATCTATCCAGGCGAGTAAAATACTGGAAAAACAGCCTTCCATTAAATAGGAAGGAAATTAATCAATGTCTCATGTCGTTAGAGCTAGGTTTCACTACACTGGGGTCATTTAATTCTCAAAGCTATAGTACTCCTCTATCAAGGCTACAAATGAGAAGTTCTCTGCAGAATGGGTTAACAGGGGTGAGTGATTGGATCAATCAGTCACTTTGCCTCCTGAACAACCACAGAAAGGCAGCTCTGCCAAGTGATCAAACAGGTGCAACAGTCTGGAGCTGAAATTAAAAATCCAATTTCCTCCTTGTTATCTTTGCTTTTAGGGGCACACCATTGTGTGCACTCATGTTACTTCCAAGCAATGTCCTCATGTTATTCTTTATCTACAAACACCAATTCAGCAAACACAAAGTTAGTTTTTAAGGAAAAGGTTAACTAATTACAGTTTCTTATGTTCTATTGTTTTCTTATGATATGCTTAAATCTTTCTAGTTACAAAAAGCAATATGAATGAATGGCTTTTTAATAGAAAAATTTAACAATTATAGGAATTTAAAGAAGTTACTTGGACATTATTTAGTTAGTTAATTTTTCTTGAGGCTAATATCAAGTGGAGACTTCAGCCAACAATCTTACGTCCATAAATCCATATATTCACACTAAAAAAAACCTTAATACATGAAAAAGAGTATAACATTCAGGTGAATAGTTATTAAAATGCAGTAAAAAAGAGAACTGGAAGCTAAACAATTTGCAATGATGGAGTAGTATTTAAATTATGGTGTCTCTATTACTTATAATATAAAAGGGACTTAAAATTATTTTTTAGCATTTAAGGCTATTTAGCAAAATAGAAAAAAAATAAGATATACTTTCCAATGGAAAAATAAAATACAAATTATATTTTTAGTTCATTTGTAGCTATATCTCAATAATCACAAATTTTAGGCAGCTATCATACTGAAATAATAATAACGGTATTAACTGAGCATTTACTATGAGCCAGGCAAGCATTTCGCCTTCTGCCTCTGCTCCTCCCCTCTTTCTCAAAAAAAGAAAAAATGTGGATTATGATTTGGATCTGTAAACATATCACTGTGTTTTTCAAAGCTATACCCTGATTAACTTCCAAAATATACTTAACCACAATATTGGTGATGTCATTAACAGATACAAGACACATAAGGGGCGCCTGGGTGATGCAGTCAGATAAGCTCCCAAACCTTGGTTTCTGCTCAAGTTATGGCCTCAGGGTCACGAGAGTGAGCTCCACCTCAGGCTCCACACTCAGCCCCAAGTCTGCTTAAGATTTTCTCTTCCTTTCCTTCAGCCCCTCATGCCGTGTGCTTGCTCTCTTTCTCTCAAATAAGTAAATAAATCTTTAAAAGATACATGAGTGCACTTCAAAGTTAGAGTTCTGAACGAAGTACAAAGAAACCAATTTAGGAATTTTTATGCCAGTAAGATGTATTTTGTGTTTACTAATAATTGAAATAATAAAGGAACAAAGGTATGTGATATGAAGAATAATAGGACCGTTAGTCTTAGTAGTTCTAATACATGATGTACAAAATTACTAACATATATTTGCAAAACAAAAAAGTGCTATAAGATGAATAACATGCTTCAAACACTTAATAGAGCTACTTATTTTAAAATGTTTTTACTTTGCTTTTCTATAAACAGAGTAGTTATAGTGAACATACTTTTCATTCTACTAAGACAACTGATTTCTTTTTTTGAAGGCTTTATCAGGTTTTTTTCATTATGCCATTTCCCAGATTCTTTTAAACTTCTATGCTGCTAGATTTTGGAACTTTTACCTAAAAAAATTAATAAATGTTATTGTTAATTAGTTAATGATCATGCCTTATACAATCATACATAATAAAACTGATTAAGTGGAAATTTTTCGAACTCTTTATTCATCAGAACAGTTGGTAGTGAGGGAAGAATATGTCAACTGACTTACAAGATAACTGTGCAAAGTCAGGATTCCGTAGCTTTAACTGCAGTGAATCCATATCAATCATTTAATAACAATTCTACATACTAATCATGGAGTATTTTCCCTTTAACTTTTTCATAGATTAATAGATCTTTTCCAAAATTAGAGCATTATTTCACCTCACTATGAAAGTAAGAAAAAAACCTAAATATTTTGGTATTTGTATTGTGTATTAAAAGTTAAAAGAAGCTGGTATTCCGGCTTATAATTCTCAATAAAAACATATAGGTCTCACAACGGTAAGTGAGATGTTAAGTTTACTACACTACTTCTAGGATAATTTTTAAAAGTGTGAGAATTTGACATTCAGAGAAATGGTAAATTCTGAGGGAATGAGACCTTTACTAACAAAACTCTACTGAAATATATATGCGTTTTGTTTATAGATGACACTGTTGGAATTATTTTGCTTCATTAGTTCTGTAAAATAGATGAATGTAAAATGTGAAAGTATCAAACATTTGTTCATTTGAACAGATGTTATGGGAAATGTGAAACAAGGCTACTACAATAGGTTTTGTCCTTTTGAATGAACCAAACTCTAATTAGTTCCTCAAGTGACGTAGTAAATATTACTTGGTGCCCAATATTACTGTGTAAAGTCAGAATTCTCTAGTTTTAACATCACTGGATCCATACTAATTTATTTAATAACTCTATATATTAATAATCATTTGCCCTTTAGATTTTGACAGAGCGATTAATCTTTTTCAAAGTTAGGGTAATGTTTTATCTCTAATTTCAAAATAAGTAAAAAACCTGAATACTTCAGCATCTAGTTACGATTCAGAAGTTGTATAAATACTTGTGTCAAAATTAGTTTGGTATGGTTAAGGATAAATACCCACTAGTCAATTCAACTGACAAAAATTAGTTGTCCACAAAAGTATACTAAGTGAAACTTATGGTAACTGGGAAAGTAGACAACTGCTGAAAGTTTGAGTAAAAATAAAAAACTACATAGTTATTGTCAGAACCATATCCAGAATATTATAATATCCTATCAAGAGAGAATTAAATAGACCTTTTGTTATAAAGATTTTATTTATTTATTCATGAGAGACAGAGAGAGAGAGGCAGAGACATAGGCAAAGGGAGAAGCAGGCTCCCTGTGGGGAGCCTGATGTGGGACTCGTTCTCAGGACCCTAGGACCACAACCTGAGCCAAAAGCAGATGCTCAACCACTGAGCCACCCAGATGTCCCTAAATAGAATTATTTATTTTTATTCATATTATGTTTGTATAGTTGATGTAGCTTCACCTTTTCTTTTTTAAGTATAAGAAATGGTCAGAGAATAGAAATTGAATATGGAATCTCTCCTTCTAGAAATGCTTACATTAAATATTTCGTGATTTTGCAAGATGCTAGTTTTCCAGGTTAGGAAAACTAAAGTACGCATTTTTGGGGTTTTAATTTAAATAGTGTCTGTTTCACTGCCTGCTGAACCTGAATCCTTTATGAAGTCATTCGGATCATCAGATTCAATGACCTCACTGATTTGAGAGTATAAGAAAAGTTTCTGGGGAGGAACTGACTATTCCTCAGCAACCTCTAGGTTTCTTTTCTCTGCATATATTATTAAAGTAAAATAATAACTTGTGTGTCACAAACATTCATTTAAAATCAAAGTTAGCTGGGATCCCTGGGTGGCGCAGCGGTTTGGCGCCTGCCTTTGGCTCAGGACGCGATCTTGGAGACCCGGGATCGAATCCCATATCGGGCTCCCGGTGCATGGAGCCTGCTTCTCCCTCTCCCTCTGCCTATGTCTCTGCCTCTCTCTCTCTCTCTCTCTCTCTCTCTGTGACTATCATAAATAAATAAATTAAAAAAAATTTAAAATCAAAGTTAGCTAAAGGAGAATTTACTAGGAAAATCAATACTAATTCATATAATATAATATAACATACTATTATCACATTAGTTAATATATTGTGAATACATACTAATATAACCAAATTTAAAAGAAACAGATGCATCTGGCAATTTAAGTATATATTCCATGGGATGCTTACTACATAGAATATTATTTTGGTATTTAGATTTTATAAGGAAAAAGAATTTCAGGCTAAGCTTATTTTATACAATATTTAATAGGAAATAAAGATATTTTGATAAAAAATGAGCTTCCTCATTACTTACATTCTTATTATTGTTTTGAATAAAGTTTGACCAAAGCCTACAAAGAATTCATTAATTTAGTCAACAGCTATTTACTTAGGGCATAATACCCAGCAGCACTCTATTAGGTCCTAAGGGGCATAAAATGGATATGGTCTCTGAGATGTAATGAAGTTCCTGTAAGGTCCTGAAGTTACATGCAATATGTTATTTTGCAATTATTCACTTAAACACATCTGTCCCCCCAATTTGACTGTACTTTCTCTGAGAGTGGAGGCCTTGCTTACTCATCTATTGCCAGTGCTGTCACATAATGTTGTTCAATAACCATTCATTGAATGAACAACATCTAATTACCCAAGAAGCAAAATTTGCCAAAAGAAAAATCGGTCATAAAGATTCAATTAAGAGATGAATGGCCACCAGTACTTATGCTATAATTATTACCAGGTTGTAAATTATGTATCAGCCAAAGTTATATATATATATCCCTAACAGTACTTAAATGATTCTTCTGGTACAATCTCAGAAGTTCCCATTTCTAGGCATCAAGCCCTGAGGTCATTGGAGTGTAAGGCCTGGGAGCTTAGACATTCCCTTTAAAGGGAGTGATTACAGAAGGCTCCTTCCAATTCCGTACTTTAAGGATAGGAAGAGATTTTAAAATTATATAATCTAACTTTCCAACCATTCCACAAATGGTCTCTAATTTCCCTGACAAGTGAATAAATTGTTTGGTTTATTTGCTTCCAACAATGAAGACTTGTAGGATGAATGATTTAATTTTCCAATA